AATAACTATATATATATATATATATATATATAGAAATTCTCTTATGCGGACATCCGGACGTTATTATCGTGCGGACGCAGTGTATTCTGTACTACCCCTCTTTGTTTTCCTGCCTGTTTACAATAGGATCCGCACGATAATAACGTGCGGACATCCGGATAAGAGAATAACTGTATATATATATATATATATATATATTTCATTTAATGTGTTAATTATTGCGTCATTAATTATTAATTCCAAATTAAATTGTTTTAAGATTATTTCGATATTATTATGATCCAATTAAGTGGTTTAATCATATCCCTTCCATTTATACAAAGGCCAGCAAAAGGCTATAGGTTGGTGATTATGGACGGACGGATGAGAATTTTCACAAGTAAATGTTTTGCTTGCACATTGTAATTCATGGGAAGATAGATACATACATAGTCATACTCATACATACAAATACGTAAAGGTGAAGCTTCTAATTCGTACAAATGTTGTTAACAATGTATACATATCAGTCGTCTTCACCCTTTTGGCCTGTTGTTGGATTCAAACACCAAGTTCTAATTCTAAAAGCTCTTGAAGCTACTCACCTTGTTTCTTTTTCTTTCTTTCTTCTCTAAGAAAACAAGTCTCAATTCAATGAAACAGAAACGAATGGGAAAGACCATTGTAAACCAACAATGTGGTGAAATTGACGGAGCCAAAGCCTAAATTTCACACAGACAAGTGTATGCATCATGATTTCACTAAATAAAGATAACCATATTCATCAGGTAATGCAAATCTTGATAACTTTCAGCCTTTCGAGTCTTCAAAACTCAAAACAGAGAATCCAAGCAAAAACCAAAAGTAGTACGCTCATGTTTAGAATAGAAGCGGGAACCATCCTGCATGGACGTAACACATAAAACACAAGATGCCAACTTTAACAAAACTTAGCTCCACCTCCTTCGATCTTCCTCCTCGTCAACAGGAGTATACCACTCTGGCCGATGCTTAGAGTTGCTCAACCTATAGTTCAGAAGCACTTCTTCATCACAAAGTGCCCTTGTAGCCACCAGAACAAGAGTCTTCAAAACAGGAATATCTGATCCGCCATTTCTTGAACCCCCAAGTTTGAACCAAAAGCTGCCAAATCTCTTCATCTTCACTTCTTCCGCATCTCCAAATACCACATTTGGAATATAGACTCTCATTTCATTTTCGGTCAATGGGAAGTCATAAGGGCAAATCATAACATTTGGGGCCATATCCTTTGCAGGGTGGTTGGCAAAATGAGCCAAAGCTAATGGGTTCCTCCCCTCTAGAATGTTGCCCCTATTTCCCAGTTGCCTTTGATCCAAAGGCTTACTAAGGAGTTTCCAGAACCGGTCTGGACCTTTCTCACCTCCCTGCATATTAGGCCTGATTTCTGGTACAGTTAAACCATCCCAAAAATCACGGGTTTCACCCCCAGAACCCCAAGGTTGTGCATTTATCACAGTCCCATCATACCTTGTGATCAGATATGAGTTTTGTGCATTAACCCTTGGGTACCCAGGAATGTAGCGGTAATAAGCAGGGGAATATATTACACCAGGGTACACGGCCACCACAGCACCGACATCACATTCGCCATTTAGAAATAAACCTTGGCCTGCTTCCTTGTGAGGTATTTGAGAAGGTTTGATATCAAGCGTGTAGCCAATGAGATCTTTTAATCTTTGAGAGACATCAGCACGCTCTAATGGCCTTGTCTCGGGCACATCTGTGCTGAAAATCATAACTAATCAGTACTGAATTGAAAAGCCATAAAGTAAAAACAGAAATCTTCAGCAATCAGAAAATCAAAGAGTGGTCATTTCTTGTGCTTAAATAATTAAGGGGAAAAGAAAGCAGAATTGAGAAGAATGATTTAGTTATCACGTGGATTTATTTAAACAATCAATATCCCAAGAAGGCCCAAATGTGGAAATTTATTTGCTGCTTCTTCAGCTATGACATGACTCGCACTAAACTATTTAGGCGAAACCCAGCATTTCTCTAAAACCAACCAAAACTAAACTGAACTCTACTCACTGGGATTAGTCTGATGAGATGAATTAATTTCATTTAATACAGCAAACAAGTAAAAGAACTAACATCACTTAAGTCCACAAAACATTAAACTTCAACTATTTTAACCACAGGTCAGGGAAGTCCGAAAGTGTACCAGATGCAAGTTAAGGTCGTTAAGGTCGTATTCAAACTTTCAGAAAATTGCTGAGAAGAGATGAATAAGATTGGCAAAAAGAAAGAAAAAACCTCACCATGATGTTTAACTGATGGAGTATTCCTGCCAATAGCAAAACTGAGACCACTTCGTCGAGGAGCAGGATTTGATTGTTCAGATGATTCAATTCCCTCATTTATCTTCTTAACATCAGGGAGAAGAAGTTCATCCATAGACATGCAGAAGCTTTTAATTTGGAGATGAATGTTTTCTTGGACTTGCTTCTGTTGATCAGCAACGGGGGCTTTACTAGCCATGTCAATGATCTCATCCACATCTGCCTCATCAGCATTCCTTCCCAAGCGATTGTAGCTGGATATACAAGTTTTTCATAATCAACATCCAAGATTGAAATTACTTGAAATTCAACATTGAAATTACTTGAAATTTAATATCAAATTGTCAGACTAGGTTTATAACAAGAAAGTAATGTAAGTTTTTTGCAACTGAAGGACTTCAATGGTGAAAACATTAGTAGTGGGCTTTCATATAGAATAGAAGATGCTGATGTGACACCAACCTGGTATATAGGAAGAGACGATTAATATCTGCCTCAAATTGTAGTTGCCTTGGATTCTTAGAAAGCATGGAATTTTTGGCAAGAGTCTTCACAAACTGAAAATTAAAAAAGTCTAAAAATTAAAGTGTGATGAGGCACTGTTGATGACAACATTATAAATTGAACAGACACACAAGACAATATAGTATGGTGTAATGCGGTAGCCGCTACATGAAGAACAAATGCCAACAAGAATTGTAAAGTGTTTAAGCATGTCTGTCTCATTCAATTCAAGCACATTATTTTCTTACTTCTCTTCTTCTCTCCCTTCCCGGCGCTTAATATCGGTCATTGTAATCCAATTCCAACTGGGCAACCAACCACTAGGAATCCGAATCTCAAAGAAAGAGTAGAGTGTGCTTCTTTGGTCCTAAGAGGTCTATTATTGTTTCTTATGGGGATGGGATCTGCAACAAGATCCTTGATACTTTGATGGTTGCCACTGCCAGCAAGTATGCACCTTTTAAGAGGCTTGTTTGCGAAAGTGCCTAAATTCCTCAAACTATGTGGACATTATCGTGGAAAACTCACCCGAACCCCAACCACTCCCCGAATTCAGAAAAGAAGTATTCCAAATTTATTTATTTAGAGACTATAAATTGCAATGCATAAACAGAGAGGGGGAAAAGGAATGTTAAGGAAATGAAGAAATGGGAGAGAGAGAGAGAGAGAGAGAGATGCATATTGATATTGTTGTTACCTCCTGAAACTTGTGGAAAAGAAAAGCCATTTCACTACTCGACAGCAGACTCGGTAGAGAAGACGATGGAGGATGGAGGCAGCTGCTCTCCTCTCCCAGCCCAACCACTGCGACGCGACTGCAATTTCTACCTGTTATACTTCATTCGGAGACTCTTCTACAGAAACCAAACCTGCCAGTTACGAAATGAAAAATCAATTGGGTGGGGGGCATCGGTTGAAAAACAAATTGGGCTGTAAAATCATAATTTTCGTAAAATTATGGGGCCTCTCCTCTCAATGGACAGGATAGACGGACTTACTGACTGAGGCTTTTAATCACCTTCGGTCCAAGTCCAAGTCCAAAACCAACCCATATCAAAACTCTCTGTTTTTTTGAGCTAGTTTTGTTTGTTAGGGGAAATAATAAATAGCATTTCCCATTTAAGAAGAACTAGCCTATCCGCACGTGCTTCGTGCCTGCAAGAGGCTTTTAAAAAAAAAAAAATATTTATTTTAGAATTAAAAAAGATAATGAGTAGTTGTGTTCCATAAAAAGAGGATCCATTATTTGATTTTTCTTTTAATTTTAATTTTTTTAAATATGAAAAAGTATGAATTTACCATATTATCCTCATTTAATTAATAATTTTAATTCTTAATGTTTGCATTAACCAAGGGCATTTTTTGGTATTTTGAATGTTTCACCATTCTCTGCCTTTTGCTTTATATATATTTATATATATAGATACAATAATAAAATAGGATAATGTTGTACTCTTTCTATTTTATGTTGTTAGATTACAAATGAACAAACATGCATTTTTTCTCACCACTTTAACTCAAGGATACGCTCGCCACTCTTCTTAACACTTGACACGTGTCCATAAATATTATTGAAATTTTTGTGAGTATTTCAAAATATAATTAATTTATTATTTGATTTATTTAAAACTAAAATTATTTATATATTTATAATATATAAATACTTTTTTTTAAGAATCAAATACTTGTTTTTTTTTTTTAATATATCAATTCTAATATCAAATTTAATGGGACGTAACTTATTTGTTTTAATCAGCCCACAATTGCTATTTTCGTGGATACTTTTAATGATATAGTTGATGATAGAATAATATATATAGTTTAATTTGTTTCTCGATGAACATATATAGTACTAATTAGTAATTAATTAAGGAATATTCATTGATATGATATATAATTAAAGGGAACACATAAATAATATTAATATAATGTGATACATATCTTATCGCAATGGGATGGGATCATGGGAGGGTAGCTAGAGGATGAGGAGCCTAGAATTATTAAGGGTTTTAGGGTTTAGGGTGGAAGCGAGAAGATGGGAGGGTAGCGTTGGGAGAGAGGAAATGGGTGAAGAGTGAAAGAGACTGACGAGGTGCAAAGGCCGGGACCTGGTGGCCTGCTCCTCTCACTGTGGCAAATGTGAGGCCGCCGCCCTCCTCATACGTCTCCGCCCAGCCGGCCACTTGGCCCCCATCAAACCATGCCCTCCATTCTTGCTTGACTCTTAAACCCATCTCTTTGATGCTGTACCTTGTTGATGTTACCGGCACCCTCCCATCTGTGTCCCCACTGTAATTTCAACAGTTAATAAATTAATCATCACCGTCATTATTACTCAATTATACATCTATCTGTGGAATCGATGGATTTACCTATAGATCCAAATACGCAAGCCAGCTTTTAACAGCTTCTGGATGACTGGCAGTAGGGTGTCGGGGGAGTCATTCCATCCCTTTATAACGCCACTGCATATATATATATATATATCATAGATGTGGCACAAGAAGCAAACTATATTAAATGCATTCTTCATAACAATATATTTGTCAGTATTGGAAACCAACTTGCTTATGTTATGTCCCCACCCACCCACACGAGTCACGATACCAACTTTGCTTTCAATCGACAAATATATATATATATTATATTTGCCTACCAACTTTGTTGTTTTGTTTTATTTGATCAATTTCTACTAACTCAAAGACAAATCCGGAGGCCAAGGCAACAGCAACAGCTGGTTAGGTTGACTTTAGGTGAAAGGGTACAAGAAATGAAAACGACGTGTCAAGATGAATTCATCCATCTCTCATAATAGTAATAATTTTTTAACAATTTTATCCAATAATCCCACTCCAAAATGCAAGGAGAGAGAGAGAGAGAGAGAGAGAGATTAAAAAAAAAAAGAATCACTGCATGTACTGTTTCATTAAATAGAATCCGATGAACGGGGGGCCGTGTGTGGCAGTGGAGGAAACAGAAAGAAAGCTCCACTTCACTGATTTTCACAGAATCAATGATATTTGAATTAAAATAAAATATAGTAGCTACTAGCTGGTGTTTATTATTACCTGCAAGGGGTGTAAGGATAGGACAGTTTGGTAACATTGGCATGCAAGGCCCTCTGAACATCCTCTCTGTTGAAATATTGCTCAACATAATCCTCTGTGCAGGGATCATAGCCTGATGGCAGCCTGTGCCAAAGCTCCTAATTAAACCACAACAACAACACCCAATATTATATTATATTGTGTATATATATATATATATATATATATATATATATATAGAGAGAGAGAGAGAGAGAGAGAGAGAGAGTGTGTGTGTGTG